TGGAAAAATACCTCTAATCAGCCCACCTTCTCTGAGGGGCTGTCTAGTCATTTTAAGGCCCCCTGCATTTTGCAGTGCATTAAAGGACAATTGCATTTTGTAGAATTTTAATATTATGTACAGACTTTTTGCTTGTGATTTTGCTTGCAATTGCCATGAACAGCTTAGAGACTTTGTTATACTAAACAGTATATAAGTTATTAAATTGAATTTAAACTACTTTATTATATAATCTCTGGCTCCTACAGAGTAGAGGCAGTGAGGGCTGCATGGAGACATGTCCTCTGATCTATACAAGCCACGCAAAACCACATCCTCTGTCCTGAATGCTCCAGGAGTGAGGGGAAGTGTGGCTCTGCAAACAACACCTCCACTCTGCCTCTGAGCCTGAGCGAAGCTCATGGCCAAATGTAGTGAAACACTGAGCCTTTCCACATACCAGAATGCAAACTGAAATAAATTTCTTCCCCGTCCCCAATCTGGAAATTCATCAGAGGAAAGAGTTTTACCATCATAGCAGAGTAGGTGTAGGGATAATGGTATGCCAGGTAGCAGACATCTTCCTTATGAGGGAAAACAATGCTGAAAGTAAGTGTGTAGCAGGATTTCCCATGGGTTTTTCCTGAAGCTGTAGCCACTGTGCAATTTTGGTAGTGGTTTCTGGTAGAAGGAGGGAGGGAAGGAGGGAAGGAGGGAAGGAGAGAGAGAGAGAGAGAGAGAGAGAGAGAGAGAGAGAATAACCTGTTATTTTCATTATTGCTGCTGTTGTTTATATACCACTTAATGCCCAGAAGGCTTCGAAGCATTTTACAAAATAGAAAACAAACAAACAAACAAACAATTGCACAACACTGTTACAATACAGGGTAACTAAAAATACACCGTAATTAAAATATGCAGTGAAATAAATCCCATTAAAATATAAAGGGCCATGACTAAAATGAGCAATAAAACAATCCCATTAACATAACACAGCAAGTAAAACGGCAATCAAAACAGGAGACTCTGGTCAAGAGATCAAGGGAATGCCTGTGTAAACAAGTGAGTCTTCTAGTGCCAGCAGGATGCCACGCAGATGAGGCCTCTCATATTTCAGCAGGGAATGCCTGACTCAATAGGGTAGCAAAGGAGAATCATATACATACAGGTCCCGCTACCCAAACAATGCATTCCCAGGAAATTGTTCATTAGGCAAGCATTCACATAATGAGCTGATTATGTCTATTATTTCTAAGCTGTGATTTGTCTGTTCTTCTTCTCTCCCTCCACACTTTCTGCCTGAAACTGGTGTGGCCAATCAGCAAAACTCAGACAAAAGAAAAATGGGTTTGTCTGATTTCTCCTGCTCCCTGATTTGTCTGATCTCTCTCCCTTCCTCCATGTTTTCTCCCTGAAATGACAGCTGCCGACCAACAAAACACAAACAAGTAAGGAAGTGAGGGAACTCCAGCTGTTTGGGTATCTGAATCAGCTGTATGTGGTGAGGTTTGGGTATAATTCTTTATGTTTGGATAACAGGGATTTCAGATAAGGAGTTTTCTGATGGCAGGACCTGCATGTATACTAATAGGAATTTCAATTCTCCAAGTGCAAGTCCTGAGCTAATAAAAATGGCACCAGCCATAGACAAGCAGAAGGAATCCCCATGCCCAGAGGACTCTGGAGGACAAAGGCAGAAATACCCCAATGATGATTTAGCATGCTCAAAGGGCGTGGAACAGTGACTATCTGTTAGACAGTGTAGAGGTTCAGGGTGGTCACAAGGAACAAGGATAGAAAGCATAGAATGGAGTGGCTGAAATTCTGAAGAGGGATCACTCCATACTGCAATATTTTGTTGCAGGTCTCATTTTGCCCCTGGCTAATTTCTTAGATTCAATGAATTTCAATGCAACACTGAGCTTTTGAAACTGACTTACGACCACTGCAACCGGACTAGTGACTAACATTTCAGAGTCTCAGTTTTTCCAGTTGTAAGGTCAGATTTACCCCATTTCTGCACCAGTTTGTGATTTAAAACAAAAACATTTTTTTTCAAAATGCACAAAAAATATGCATTTTCTCACACATTTTGCCTAATATGCATATTTTTGTATGTAATTTTGCCTAATATATGAATTTCTGCAAGCCGTTCCCCAATATAATGCAATCTTGGTATGTTTTTTTAACTAATATATTAATTTTTATATGTACTCTTAGGTTGGTGCACTGCACTGGAAGATACACAGAAGTGCAAGATTCAAAAGTTAGCTTCAGTTCATGTGTTTGTTTGGGGAATTCAATTTAGTGAGTTCATATTAAACATAAGAACGTAAGAAGAGACCTGTTGGATCAGGCCAGTGGCCCATCTAGTCCACCATCCTGTTTTCTTATTGGTCAACTAGATGCCTATGAGTATCCTGCAAGCAGAACCTGAGTGTAACAACAACTTTCCTCATTTGTGACTCCCAGCAACTAATATTCAGAGGCAATCCTAAGATAGATGTGTCAACAGTCTGACTTAGCATAAGGCAGTTTCCTGAATTGGCTTTCCCATATGGAGTTGTGGTAGTCCTTAGGGATATAAGGAGAGCCCCGTTGAATCAGATGGTAAAGGTAAAGGGACCCCTGACCATTAGGTCCAGTCGTGACCAACTCTGGGGTTGCGGCGCTCATCTCACTTTATTGGCCGAGGGAGCTGGCATACAGCTTCCGGGTCATGTGGCCAGCATGACTAAGCCGCTTCTGGCGAACCAGAGCAGCACATGGAAATGCCGTTTACCTTCCTGCCAGAGTGGTACCTATTTATCTACTTGCACTTTGACGTGCTTTCGAACCGCTAGGTTGGCAGGAACAGGGACCGAGCAGCGGGAGCTCACCCCGTTGTGGGGATTCGAACTGCCGACCTTCTTATCAGCAAGTCATAGGCTCTGTGGTTTAACCCACAGCGCCACCCATGTCCCTACGAATCAGATGGAAGTCACACCTAATCCAACACCCTGTTCTCACAATTGCCAACCAGATGCCGACGAGAGGGTCAAAAGGAGGACTTGAGCTCAACAACACCCTAGCCACTTGTGATTCCTACTTGTGAGCCAAATAATTTCCATTCCTACTCCTGATCTGAGAACACAAAAACCAGGAGCTTCATTCCCAAAGGTTTGGTGTATGGGAGAGGCAAAGTTTGCAGCAAGCTTCAAAGGCATTCTCTTGTTGCATATATTCAAAATGAAACCAGGGGGTGGAGAGAGAGAGAGAGAGAGAGAGAGAGAGAGAGAGAGAGAGAGAGAGAGAGGCAGGGTATGCGGAAAGCATTTGTTCTTGTTAACTTTTCTATTAGGGTGACCAGATGGAAAGGCAATGGAATTACTTTTAATAGCGCTGGAGAAGGGATTTCAGCAGGTTCAGCTTCTCACACCACTGCATGACAAGCTGCACTAATCAAAATCCCCTCTCCTACACAATAATCAAAGGTACAGGAGTCCTGGTTTCTTTTGCCGGTCCTAGTTTTGACTCTTTGTAATGGCTGAAGATGTAGCTGTTTCTGGTAGTAATACTCACCTGTAACAACAACATCTCCTCGGATTGCCTCCCTGTTTAGCATCATAGGAAGCTAGCTGCCTTGCACTGAGTTCAGACCATGGGTCCATCTAGCTCAGTGCTTCCTACACTGACTGGCAGTGGCTCTCCAGGTTTTCAGAGAGGGGTCATATCTAGCTCTACTTTGGAGATGCTAGTGAACCTGGGACCTTCTGCATGCAAACCTGATGCTCTACCACTGAGCTATAGCCCTTTCCCTAATTTTGAAAGTAAGACGCGGGTGGCGCTGTGGTCTAAACCACAGAGCCTAGGGCTTGCCTATTGGAAGGTCGGCGGTTTGAATCCCCGTGATGGGGTGAGCTCCCGTTGCTCGGTCCCAGCTCCTGCCAACCTAGCAGTTCAAAAGCACGTCTAAGTGCAAGTAGATAAATAGGTACCGCTCCAGTGGGAAGGTAAACGGCGTTTCCGTGCGCTGTTCTGGTTCGCCAGAAGCAGCTTAGTCATGCTGGCCACATGACCCGGAAGCTGTACGCCGGCTCCCTCGGCCAGTAAAGCGAGATGAGCACCGCAACCCCAGAGTCAGCCACGACTGGACCTAATGGTCAGGGGTCCCTTTACCTTTTTAAGCAGCATTGTAGGAAATTTACCATGGCAGATGGCTTCTTAGGCCTGCTGCCATCAGGTAAGTTTGCAGCTGGTGGAGGCACTGATGACCATGCGCATTTCTGCACCCCACCCCAACCTGGAGCCAACCCAAGCAGAAAGCAGGAATGCAAATGTTTCAAATGTTAAACAAAGGAAGGGTGGTTCCTGCAGATTGACCACGGCTGGGTGCTTACACTTCTGCCACTTTCTGTCTGCAACTACTTTAGCCCTGCCTTGATTCTGATTAAACATATGCACGCGCGCACACACACACACACCACACTCCCCAGGAAAATACAAATCTTAAGAACGGATGTTCCTTCTCTGTCCTCACCTGGTCTTTTGCAATATATAATTTTTTAAAGAGCCAGCTTGAAGGGTGATGGTGAAAGAGTTCCCATTGGCTGAGATGAAGAGCCAATTCACGCATTTCAGAGCAACCGCATAGCACCAAATTGCATCCGCAAGTACATCTCAGACAATAATTTCCCCTGCCTAGCACCAATTATGCTGTTGCTAAACCTTCCCATTCTGAAGGACTCTGTGACACCCCTCCCCGTCTTATTGTTTTTAAAAAGATATCTTATCAGCATTGTATTAAAATGCAAAATATAAGGAAAGAGACCGAAAGATGCAATTTCAGCTGCTGAAATTTACACAAACTGTTTATTTCCCTTGTGTTGGTGTTGTTTTTATTCAGTTGGGCAAAGTCTCAAGATAATCATTCTCCTGAAACCCCATGGCCTAATCATAGCTTCTTTTGTATGAAACATAAAATAATTTGTTGACTTACAAGAATGAAATGGGTGGAAATGTAGCAGCAACAACAACATCAAGCTGATAGTTCAGTTGGTTAGAGCCTGGTGCTGATAATGCTAAGGTTGCAGGTTCGATCCCCGTAAGGGACAGCTACATATCCCTGCATTGCAGGGGGTTGGACTAGATGATCCTCAGGGTCCCTTCCAACTCTACAATTCTTTCATTCTATGATTCCTTTCAGAGCAGTCTTCCTCAACCTGCTGCATGCCAGATGTTTTGAACTACAACTCCCATCAGCCCCAATCAGTGTGGCCAATGGACAGGGATGATGGGAGCTGTAGTCCAAAATACCCAGAGGGCACCAGATTGGGGAAAGCTGTTCTAGACATTGCACCCTTAACTCAGAAGCTGCCTTCCAAATTCCAGAAATGTGAGTTCTGATTTTGCTACCACAGTATTACTTTGCACATGCACAGAAGCATTCCCCGCCATCTGTCTCAGGAGGTAGGGAGAAACTAGGTCAGAGAAGAAGAAAAATACATTCTCACACTGACTCCAATTTAGCTAAAGTTAGTGATGACTTACAGTATGGTTTTATGCATGTCTACTCTGAAGTATTAATAAATAACAAGATGAAAGACTTACTCTGAAGTAAGTCTCATTGGGTTAGTTCAGGCATAGGCAAACTCAGCCCTCCAGATGTTTTGGAACTACAACTCCCATCATCCCTAGCTAACAGGACCAGTGGTCAGGGATGATTGGAGTTGTAGTCCCAAAACATATGGAGCGCCGAGTTTGCCTGTGCCTGGGTTAGTTGAATGGGTCTTAACTCTTTTGGCTGCAATCCTACATCCTCTCACCTAGGATTAAGCCTCTTTGAACTTGATATGATTTGTGTCTGTGTAGATAGCATAGCATGGAGCTGTTCGTCCCATTGAAATGGAAGAAACACTTTAGAACCAAATTACATGTTACATTAAACCTACTGAAAAACAATTACTTATGCAGAGGCTGTAGTTCAATGACAAAACACCTATTCTGCATGCAGAAGGTGTCATTCTTGATCCCTAAAATCTCCATTGAGAAAGACCAGGGATGGAAAAAGACCAGGCACCCTGGAGGACTACTACCAGTCTCAGAAAAGATTACAGGTAGAGAACCTCATGACTATAGAGACAATGCCTCTCTGTCTGGCCCTCAGAACTTTCACCAGACCACACTTCTCCAGAAGCCCTGCTTCACATCCTCCTTGAGTGATTTTGCCTGGCTGGGATGTGTCCTTAAGCTCTGTTCATGCTTCTTGCTTGCCTGGAAGAGGACAGAAGGTGTGTGGGATGGGGGGGGTTGTGTGTGGGTGTGTAAAAACCAGCCTGCTGTACAAATGCACCATTTGCCTTCATTGCTCTGCCCGCTTTTGCCTCTGCACACTCAGTTCAATGACTGCAAAGTGGATCCTACAAGGTTCCATATGATCAAGAGCCTTGTGTGATTGGGGATGCTGCTTACATGCAACTGTTCACACATATATATTTTTACTGTAATTTTACTGGTGTTAGCCGCCCTGAGCCCGGCTCTGGCCAGGGAGGGTGGGGTATAAATAAAAATTTTTTATTATTATTATCATTATTATTATCTCCCCCCGCAGCAAATGTTGTGCTGAAGAGACGGGGTGAAGCATGCCATGTTGAGGGTGGAGTCAGAGGTACGTTACTCCCTCCTATGCTAATGCACAGAGGAGGCCATTTGGAAAAAGGCTTAAGCCTCCCTTGGATTACAGTTATATGCATAGGAAAGCACAGGTGGAATGAACCATTTTCTCCCCTTCCTCACAATAACTGTGTGTGATCCACATTAAGTCTGAGAGCAAGCAACTTTGCCAAAGTCACCCACTGCAGTTGATGCCCAAACTAGAATCTGACTCCCTGTCCTAGTCAGACACCCAAACCATAACACTGGATCACACATTCTTAAGCAATTAGCCTCTGACACAGCCTGAGCTTGTGATTGCAAGCAAAACCTATTGAGTTCTTCAGAACTTACTTCCAGCCCTAATAAGTCCCCTAAACTCAACAGCCTTTGCAAAGCCGAAAAAAGAAAAAAGAGCACCAACATTAAGAAAGAGGATATTAATCCAAATCACAATGCTATTAGCATGCAGACTCAATTCGCTGTGCTTTTGAGTCACTTTATACTAGTCAAACCCTAAAGCAAGCTATTTCTCCTTCAAACACTTTGCACTGTTTCCAGCACAGCTGGCACCACCAGTTAATTAATAATCATCATAATTATTATTGTTGCTATCATCATCACTTACTGCGCACATTGTTTTTCATGTTCAAAGTGCTTTACAAATGTTATTGAATTATCCCCCACATCTCCCTTCTTCAGCCAAATTAGCAAGACCAGAAGGCAGAAACTATTGCTATCATTATCCAGATTTTGTAGCATGGGAATGGAAAGAAAGGCAACAAATGCAAAACACACACACACACACACACACACACACAAACACACACACATATCCTGGCTTGTATTTGATGGCAGAGATCAATAGTACAAAAGCTCTGTCTTATTTGTGACGTGAGAACTGCCACACTGTGGCTAGTGCTGAACCAGAAGTTCTCAACTGTGAACTTCCAACTCGGATTTTGGCCTGTGAAAGGAACAATGGAAAGGGTCCTTCAAACCCCTGTCAATTGTTTTTCGTTTTGTGGGGAGAGGGATGGGTGGAATTGAGGGCATTACACCAGCAGCATTTCTCCCCCAGCATCCATCAGATCATAGCTGCCGTTTGTTCCCCACCAAAGGAACATTACCCTGTAACAGGGTCCAACAAATGGTCCATCTGAGTTCACCAAAGATCCTTGTTGGGTCAGATCAAACATCTATCCCATTTCCCACAGTGGTCAACCAGATGCCTCTGGGAAGCCCACATGCTCAAGAAGGGCATCTGCTCTCCATGGTTTCAGAAGCAGGAGCCTTTCCCAGCCCTACCTGGAGAGGGCAGCGGTTGAATCTGGAACCTTTTCCCTGCAAAGCATGTGGTGTACTACTGAGCAATGACCCTTCTCTTCATCAGAAGCCCTCATTAGATCAACTCTACATCATCCTAGATATATATAATCAACTGGAAGTCAGGTTTTTAATGTCACCAGTCCCATGCTGTGGAGTGTTCTAAAGATTCAGCAGGCATCCTTGCTAACTGACCTTCAAGGAGGATGGAGGGGAGAAGTAGAGGCACATATTCTTCTCTGCCCCACTTCTGACCACATGCCTGTGCAAGGTCACTGAATTGGTTCAGGGTAGATCATCCCAGGTCAGATTGGGGCCACTCCAAAGCAGCAGCAGCAGAAGAAGAGTTTGGATTTGATATCCCGCTTTATCACTACCCGAAGGAGTCTCAAAGCGGCTAACATTCTCCTTTCCCTTCCTCCCCCACAACAAACACTCTGTGAGGTGAGTGGGGCTGAGAGACTTCAAAGAAGTGTGACTAGCCCAACGTCACCCAGCAGCTGCATGTGGAGGAGCAGAGACGCAAACCCCGTTCACCAGATTACGAGTCTACCGCTCTTAACCATTACACCACACTGGTTCTCCAGACTGGGCCTTGAAATGGATGGAGGGGCCCATATACAGCCCTAGTTTACAAAGTCAACAAAGTAGAGAAGCTAAGGACTGTAGAAGGTCAGTTTGCAGATCAAGGAAAACACGAGTGCTCTTTGCAGGTTAAATGAAAGATGCAAGGGGACAGTGTGGACTTGCACAGTAACTCCTCCCTCCTCTGCTGTAATTTTGGGCATCCTCCAACTTGTGGAAGGCAGCAGTCTACAGTAGGGCACTTCTGATCTAGAAGGACCAGATCAAGAGAATCTAAGAGCCCAAGACAAACCTGTTAGTTCAAGCCACAGGACCATCTTGTCCAGCATTCTGTTCTCACAGTGGCTGACCAGGTGTCTGTAGGAAGCCTACAAGCTGCCCACCTGTGATTTCAAACAACTGGTATACAGAGGCATAATCAGAGTAAACCCATTGAAATCAATGGACAGGACTACCTTGGGTCCAATAATTTCAATGCATCTACTGTGGGTAGAAATTAGTTGGATACAACCCACTGCAATGTAGCACCAAGTTGAAGTGGAATATTGTTGCACAAAGAAAAACACAAGTGCATTACCAAAGAGTGTTAACAACAGATTGCACAACAAGAATCAGCTGTTGCGCAGGGGGGAACATAGGTACATTACCAAAGAGTGCTGTGCAATGGTATCAGGTGTTGCACACCAAAAATTAGCTGTTTCACACACAAAAAGTTTCCACTAGTGCAACAGCTGCATTGGAATTATTTGTTGTGCAGCCTTTAAACTCTGCTATCTACTAGGGCTAGGCCTCCGTGTCTCCAGAGAAACTGAGGAAATCAGATAAAGTTCTGGTTGCTTGTGACCTTCTGCATTAGGAACCAGCACCCACACACACGCACACACATGCACACACACATCAATGCTTTTCTCTTTCTATTTTTCACTTTCCCATGTCACAAAGGACTCCAAACAGCCAGCAGGCAAAAAAGAAAGGAAAGGAAGTGTATGTGGAGAGAGGGGAGTAAGAAACTACATTTGTACTGATCTGGGCAGAATTTTAACTACTGACCTAGAAATAAAAAGTTCAGCATCCAATTATCAAGCCCTTGAGCCATCCCGCTTTGCGACAGCTCAGGTGGGGTTAGACAATGAACTGGAAATGAACTGTGGAACGCAATGCCCAGATGTGCCATTGGGAGCCTCACGAGCTGCCGCTGATGCTCCTTAAATAATCAGCTGGAAAGGAACATTATTGCTCTGTGTGTAATAATTGTAAACAGTTGCCAAGACAGCAAACAGTGAATTAGAGCATTTTATAGGGGCTCCCGCAACATCCCCCCCTCCGCTTTCCCACACAAGCACTAGTGTATAACTGTCACTTTGCGGGCAGGCAATAAACCAGAGCAATGGTGTTGGCAAAACCCTTTTTGACAGAAGGTTTTCTAATAATCTCCATAACGTGTTTGGTTTGGGGGTTTTTTAACTCTCTCTCATGGGAAGGGGAAGGGAAATGATGCCAGAGCAGAGACGTGGGCTGCCACATTTGTCTTCTTTGGGAGTGAGTTGTCCCTGCTCCCCGACCGCACACACATACCTCCAGAGGAAGACAAATGTGAGTGGAGTTCGGACAGCGTGTGATCTGCAGACTCGTACATCTCACTTCCCTCTGTCCTTCAGCTCAGAGCAGTCATTCCTGAACTGTGACTAGTTAACAGGAAGAGTGATGCTGCTGTGGCTTATGTTAATTAAACACTCTGCGACTACGGCAGTGCTTGGAATGAACACGTTCAATTTAATGGAGTCAGTTGAATTAGTTCAAAAATCTCTGAACTGCACCTGGAAGAAGCTCCCACAATTGCCAGGTTAAGCAAACATGAATAAAGTTCATTTTGGAATAGAACTTTGCACAATTTCTAATTCATCTTCAAGTTCATTCTCTCTCTCTTTTCCTATCTAGACTCTTTGGGCCTTTAAGCTTAAAAATTGTAATTGTTAGAGAAAACAAATGTTTAAAATTCACATTCTGCTGTGTGTGGGCGTTGATATTCCCTTAGTCTTCTTATGTATATTTTATACACCAGCACAACTTGTAGCATTTTGAAGGCTGAAAAAATATATATTGCCAGGGCCCATTTGGATGACTTCAATTTGAATTGGACATTAATGAAGCTGGCTGGTTTTGTAAAGGCACTGACGTGAACTGGAATCAGTCCACAAAGTGATGGTGGTTGGGTTTCAGGGAGAGAGGCATGGAAATCATTTGGCAACTGTACACCAGAGTATTGAGATTCCAGGTTCCCTAGTCTTGAATCTCTTGAGCCACATGTCAAAAGAATTCCAAGAAGCAAGTCACGTCCACTAACGTCCATAGGTTTGTTCTGAGTAGGCCTAGCATTGGGGACCATTGAGTGGACTCAGACATATAATTCTCCCTTCCCTCTCTCTGTTGCAAATTGAAATTGTAAACTCCTCAGGACTGAGACCTGTCTTCTTATATTTGATAAGGTGTTGTGCATAATGGCTGGGTGTGTGATGAATAGACAGGTTTGCATCCAATGTAGCACTAAGCTAAAGTCACTTAGTGGTATTTTTTCCCCTTTGGTGAAATGTTGTACAAGAGAATCCATAAGCAGGTGGCTAGTAACATAGTCACACAAGAGATTTGCAATCTGTTGTGTAATGAGTTTCTGCTAGTGCAGCAATTGCACAGGATTCCTCTGTTGTGCAACGTTAACGTTCTCACACCCACTAGCACAAGAGTGGACAGGGAATGCTGTAAGCAATCCATAGTTACTGTAGCTACTAAAGTTAACTTGTATGTCTATGGGTGTGTCTGTATGTTTGCAAGCACTGTTATCATTCTACTTCCATAAAGTTATTCATTTGCTGTTTGGAAGTGCATTTCTAAAGCACAGTAGGGTCCTGATCTCTCTCCCTGCACCAGAGAACATGGAACATGTTGTGGGCAACTTTGTTACACAACAGATTGTGCAAACCTGTTTCACAATGAGTTCCGCCAGCACAACTGTTGCATTGGGCTTCCTCTGTTGCGTGACATTAAAACACACCTGTCCACTAGCGCAAGAGAGCTTTGGATGCAGCCCAGTGCATCCAATAATGAATAAAGGAGGTTTTCCACCTTGGACAGTACCTAACATTTGTGCTCAAATTGTATGTGAGTGTTGGGCAGGGGCAGAGGGAGTGGGGTTCAGGAACTATGCCAAATCTTGTTTTAAATGCACTCTCTGTATTGCAAAAACCCACATTCCCCAGGCCTATTTGCATTCCTGGATGAGTTTCAAAGTAGTTTATTGTCTTTCAGCTGTTCATAATAATAATAATAACATGTATATAGAGTGTTAGAGCATTCGAAGTGCTTTGCATTCATTAGAACAGTAATCTTCAGAACAGTCCTGTAATATCAGTGGGTCAGTATTACTTTTCCTGCTTGTTACAGATGTGTAGAGGGGGAGGAAAAGTTGATAGATGGTATTCTCCCAAGGCCATCACTGGCAGAGGGATTCCCCAGGTCACATCTAGCATGGGAAGTTGCCTTCAACTGAGTCAAACCATTGGCTCCATCTTGCTCAGCACTGCCTACACTGACAGGCAGAGGCTCTCTGGGGTTTCAGGCAAGGGTCTTTCACAGCCCTACAGGGGTTGAACCTGGGAGCTCCTGCATGCAAAGCAGATGCTGTACCATTGAGCCATAGGCATTTCCTGCATTGCCTGAAGTTAATTTGCCAAGGCTGAGCTAAACATTCAGTTTCAATTTTGGGACTAGGGCTGGTGCAGGAGCTGCCAGAAGCTTTGAACCCATCCACTGCCTCAAATTGCCCTTCTTCACTGCCAGTTGTTTTGCAGTGTGTTCCTTGCAGCTGCTGCCATGGTTGGTTTTTGTCCTACAATTCCTTTCTGAATGATGCTGAAAGGCGTTCCGAATGATGCATAGTTCAAAGCAGAATTGATGGGAAAAGAGAAATGGTGGAGACCAACCAGCAGAAAGAGCACCACCATTGATAAGTTCACCTCTAGGCCCGTTTTTATTTTCATTGCTGCCCATAAGGGCTATTCATCAGTATTAAAATTATATCAAACAATACCAAAACTGGTGCCACAGCTGCACCCGAATTTCACAGATGGGAAAATGGGAGCCCATCCCACTGTGTGTTCTCCCAGGTCGGACTGCTGAGGCTTGAAAAATAGAACACCTTTAGGAATTTTATCAGAAAAAGTCATTTCTGAGAAATTTCAGCCTACCAATTATCTAAAGAAAATTGATGATGTGTGAACTGGGAAATCAGATTAGATTAGAAGAATCCAGGCAGACGTTGGGGGCAACAGTGATCCTAGACAGATATATGGGTGGATAGGAATCAGATGACAGAGATGAAGAATGAAACCTTTCCAGAGCACATCAACATAAAATTCAGCACATTTCATATTCTGGGGGAACAAGCGCGGGGGGAGAGAGAGAGAGAAAGAACAAGCCAGTCCTATCCCATCATCTGTAGCCTATCCCTTTCCAGATTATGATTAAGAACTTAATTGCACTTTCACAGTTTAATCGTACCAGTCAGCTGCTATTTAATCACTGCACAATAACGGCCTTGTTAATGACATTAGGGCCCATTATGACTGTAATCAGCCTATAAGCCTTGCATCCCCTACATCTGCTTGCGCCCAAGTCTGCCAGCACTCGGGAAAGTCGTTCATGCCAGGAGAAAGCAGGAGGGAGGGAGGACATGCAAGGAGGGGAAAGGGGGCCATTGATCTGGCTAGAAAGTGGAGTGAGGTTGCTAGATCAGGATGGAAAGGGAGGAGGAGGAGGAGAATAGGGAACAGAGTGCCATGCAGTGAGAATCTCCTGTTAAAAGCTAGCTTGCAACAAGGGCCTAAGAGGTGCTCTAAAAATCATAAGGAGTAAAGAAGTGGGTGCCCACTACCTAAAATCAACTAACTGAAATTGCTTCAGAATATCAACAGCAGAAGGAAGAGAGAACATTGTTTCCCAAGGCAGCTAAGGGATCAAGGTTTTTCTTTTCTTTTCTTACATTATGGAGTACTGCCACCTCTCTTTTTTGCTGCTCATGGCAGCCATTTTGTGTGGGCACCCACAGCCCTTGAGGGGGATTTCTTTCAGAGAGGCAAAATAGTACATTATTTTCGAGGTGGGGAGCTATCATTATAGTGGGGATAGAGAACATCAGACCCCAGGAGCTAAAGCCAACCATCAAGCCCTATCTGTCTGGCCCTCAGAACTCTCCTCAGAACATACCCCTCATTGGCCCTACTTCACACACTCCTTAGGAGTCTTGGCCTGGCTGGAATTTGTCCTTGAATGCCATCTGCTGGCTGGCTGAGAGGGGTGTGTGAGTGTATGTAGAAACTAGCCTACTGTACAAAGGGGAAATTCTCATTTGTTGCTCCGCCCACTTTTGCCTTTGGTCATGCCCACCAATGGCATGTGCCACCCACCCAAAAAGGTTGCACAGGAAGGAATGCAGCCCTTGATCTGAAAAAGGCTCCCCAACCTTGCATTACAACAACAATGGTTTTCCCCTCCTTTTTTTTCATTTTGATTAAAACCCTTGTTTACTCCTGCCATAAACATCAGCAGTAGAGTCACTACCAGTGGTCACCCATTCCAACACCATGACCAACCCTCAATGCTGGGGCACACGTGTGTGTGTGTATCTGTGTGTGCAGGGAGTGGTGGCATCCATTGGGGTTTCATCCTACTGATAGCAAATCTACCACTTTCATTCCTTTGTTTGGGGGAAAAAAACACAAGTCTATCCCACCCATCATTGTTGCCAAGGCAACATTATACGAGAAGTAAAACAAGCTTTCAAAAAGCATGGGGTGGGGGGGAGAGAAGTTGCTCCTGATACTAAAAACACATAGAATTTTCACACCCACAGAATTGAAAGTTGCAAGGGGGTTTGAAGGAGGAGGGCTGTTCTCAACCCCAACATGTAGGTCAAATGTTCCTATAGGAGAAAATGTCACTCAGCATTCATGCTCAAAGGTAAAGCTAAAGGGACCCCTGACTATTAGATCCAGTCGTGACCGACTCTGGGGTTGCAGCTCTCATCTCGTTTTATTGGCCGAGGGAGCCGGTGTACATCTTCAGGGTCATGTGGCCAGCATGACTAAGCCGCTTCTGGTGAACCAGAGCAGTGCACAGAAATGCCGTTTACTTTCCCTCCGGAGCGGTACCTATTTATCTACTTGCACTTTGACGTGCTTTCAAACTGCTAGGTTGGCAGGAGCTGGGACAGAGCAATGGGAGCTCACCCCGTTGTGGGGATTTGAACCGCCAACCTTCTGATCGGCAAGTCCTAGGCTCTGTGGTTTAACCCACAGCGCCTCCTGCATCCCTTATCATGCTTACGGAATTAAAATTGGAAACATGGACAAAGCCCTCATGAAAATTCACCTGCATTTTAGTGCACATTTCTCCTAATATTTTGCCTAACGTACACATCTTTGTAAAGCACTTCCCCTAATATATTGCATTTTTGTATGCTATTTACACTAATATATACATCCCATCCACCCCCTGCACACTTTACCCCAGCATACGCATTCTTGCAAGCAGCAAGAGAACTGCTCTGCAAAATTTGGAGAAGTGTGAATTTTAAATAATGGCTGGGTTTGGGTTCGAGTATTATGTATTACATACATTCAACATTAAATGAGAACTGAATTGAATTTCTCCCCCATTCCTATCTGTATGCATGTATTTAAAACTAATAACTATTTTTAAAAAACAAAACACTAACATGTGTGGCTAGCAGGTAAGTGACTGTAGTTGCATCCATTGCGAATGGTTGCCCACAAAGAGAAAGAAACCTTCAGACTGAAAAATGTTCTCCCCACCACTGCGCTAGAAAAAACAACAATGGTTTTTTTGTTCTCCATCATTTTGTAGCCCCTATAATCTGCATTTACAGGGTGAAGTAGAATTGGTAGTGCAAAGTTAATGGGGTAATAATGACTAGCAGGAGAGGAAGGAAAGCCCAAGCAACATTCTGGAAGAGGAGGTGGAGTACACTTACTTGTAATAACAGATATCATAGCCCACCCGAATCCAGTGAGGTCTGCCCTGGAGAGCTTCCTTCACTGAGTACATGACCGGTTGCATGCCTACACAAAACAAAGGCAGTTTTTTAAAAAGCGATATGATGTCCTCTGCAACTGCAAAACAGCTGTTTTACCCAGGACATTTCTTAGGTGAAGACAGACACTTTTCAGGTGAAAACAGACATAATATTTTCAGTGCAGTGAGGTTGCTCTGAAAGCAGTTCTGCACATACTTTTCTCTCCAGAATTGAGCACTGAAGGGCAGGGCAACTCATTGGTTCTGAAAGTTTGAGGCAGAAACCGGCTGTGCATGGCAGTAATCGGTTGCTTGCTGTGCGCAGCATAACGTCACCAAGAACATTCGCTGACCCAAAACAATGGTGCAGATTTGCACATCCCTGGCCTGTTCTTCATTAATAAGAGGGGTGTCCCCATGTTGCATTTGAGTGTACAGGCTTTGTGCCCAAACAGTTGACTTGCACAAATGAACATGTTGCGCTATTTCACACCAACACCTGTTAATGTTTAAAGACAGCTTGTGACAAATCAATGGGGATATGCAAAAGTTCATGCAGTGGGTTTAAAAAATGTTGCTCTTTTAAAGCAGACTTTCCAACTGAAACTTTGGGCAAGGGGCAAAATGGATGGCAGCAGTGGACTAGAGGACCCTTATGATCCCTTCCAACTCTACAATTCTAAGATCTGATACTGTCATTTCAACCATGAAGGCAGGAGGAAGTTGGAATTGTCTCATAGATGAGGACCATGTGTTGTGAATTCCCATTATATATTTAGTCTGTCTTCACCATATTCCCCACCCCATCCCACACTCATCCCACAATAAAAAGGCAAAGGTAAAGGACCCCTGACGGTTAAGTCCAGTTGCAGACAACTCTGGGGTTGCAGCGCTCATCTCGCTTTACAGGCCGAGGGACCTGGTGTTTGTCCGCAGACAGTTTTTCCGGGTCATGTGGCCAGCATGACTAAGCCGCTTCTGGTGCAATGGAACACCGAAACCAGAGCAGCGCACGGAAATGCCATTTACCTTCCCGCCAGAGCGTTACCTATTTATCTACTTGCACTTTTTGGCATACTTTCGAACTGCTAAGTTGGCAGAAGCTAGGACCAAGCAATGGGAGCTCACCCTGTCGTGGGAATTCAAACTGCCGACCTTCTGATCAGCAAGCCCAAAAGGCTCAGTGGTTTAGCCACTGCCAATTTTCTGCTTAGTTTTCATTAAGGCAAATACATGTCAAGAAGTCCTTAACTTCTTTGCTTTTAAGAGAATGCCTTTTAATCAAGATCATCAGGTGACAGATCTGGAGAACATAGCAAACATTTCTCCAGGGCAATAGATGGAACATATCCAAACTACAGACACAAATCTCATTTAACAGTCACTCTTTGGTAAATGGGAGAGATGGGGATGGGCAAGGCTGAGATCTCTAGGAGAGAATTCTCAGTGCTTTCACCATTACAATTTCTGGAATTCTTTGGAGGAGACCATGGGAATTAAACATTTTTTAAATGGGGGGGCTGCCTTGTCATTAAGCAACATGGAGGCATAACTCTGCATCTCTGCCTGGAATCAAAACTAGTCAAACGGCATACAAAAACATTTTTG